GGAGGAAGAGGGAGGAGGAAGAGAGAGAAGGAAGAAGGAGAAGAAAAAAATACCTAACCCAAAAACCAAAAAAAAGGACTGGCAGAATGACTCAAGTGATAGAGCGCTTACCTAGCAAGTGTGAGGCCCCGAAGTCAAACCCCAGTTCCACTAAAAAAAAATAAGGAGAGTGCATTCTCCATCCTCCAACCTCAAACTATAGGAGTGGCCCTGTCAGAAAAGAAGAGTTCAGGAGGAAGCAGAGACCAAGGCCACCGTAACTTCACCAGCACTCCACTTTTCTTCAGGAATCAGGCACTGACAAGAATATCCACAAGGGGGCGACATCTGCTGATCTTCAGCTCTTGGCTGTGCCCTGGGACTCGGGTTTGGGATGTTTGGGAAAGGGATCCTGTTTGTGGAGAAGGGTAGCTATGGTACCCTTTCACACTCCATGTGGTTTTTTTTGTTTTTTGGTTTTTTTCATTTTATTCATGAGGAAACAGAACTGGATTGGAGAACTGGGTCCTTGGATTCCCAAGCTAACAGCTGCTCCTAGGCATCTGTTCCCTCCCCCCCAGACTCCCCTGTAGACTTCTCTCTTTTCTTTATCTGTTCTCTCAGACACGTATTGATTAAAATTCTGTGGAGACAGGTGTGGTGGTGTACATGCCTGTAATCTTAGCACTCAAGAGTCTGAGGCAAGAGGATCTCCAGCATGAGGCTACCCTGAAGAAATGGCAAGTTCAAGGTAGCTTGGGCTACATAGTAAGACTCTGTCTCGAAAGGGAAGGGAAGTAGGGGAGGGAGGGGAGGGGAGGGGAAGGAAGGGAAAGGGAAAGGAAAAAGAAAAAAGAGCCAAGCACTGGTGGCTGGAGGCAGAGGTCAGGAGGATCATAACTCAAAGCCAGCTCGGGCAAATAGTTCTTAGATCCTACCTCAAAAAAACCATCACAGAAAAAGGCTGATGAAGTGGCTAAAGCGGTAAGAGTACCTGCCTATAATCGTGATGCACTGAGTTCAAAACCCCAGGACCACAAATAAAAGTCCCTCTAGCCAGGCCCTGGTGGCTCACGCCTGTAATCCTATCTATTTGAGGCTGAGATAGGGAGGATCATAGTTTGAGGCCACTGCAGGCAAATAGTTCTCCAGACCCCATTTCCAAAATAACCAGAGCAAAATAGACTGGAAGTGTGACTCAAGTGGTAGAGTGCCAGCTTTGCAAGCATGAAGCCCTGAGTTCAAATACCGGTCCCACAAAAAAACAAACAAAACCTCCCTCTTCCTCCGTTAAAGGGCTCAATACTAACCAGAACTTGCCCAGAAAGGAAGGGAAGGGTTTTATAGGCACTCTTAGCCAACCTGATATCAACAGAACTGCCTAGGGCTCCAGGACCCCAGGGAAACTCCCATTGTAAGGCAAGAGGGTTCAGTTCCCACACTTAGGGGACCCCTTGAGTCCATGATGCATTCCAGTCATGCAAGATTTCTTGGCTGCTTAGGATGTGCCAGGAAGTGTTGGGCACTGTGGAGCTGCAGATGACAAGAGCCAGCTCCTGCCCTCCGGGGTCTAGTGTGTGGGCAGATGGCAGATGCAGATGGCTCTGAGGAAAAAGGATGATGCAACAGCTGGACTCTGACCCACATGGGGAGCCAATAGGAGCAGGTAGCTCTCAGTCTGTCCCTCTGTCTGGGACACTTTCCTGACTCCTGTCAATCCTTAATGTTGCCTCTCTGAGAGGTCCCCCTGAATACCATCACCCAAACTATCTCCCTGCTTTCTTTTCCATCACTGTTGGAAATGATTATCTTCCTTCATCCTGTCTCCCCACCCCCGCCTTATTTTTTCATTTTAATTTTTTGGCCGCACTTGGGGTTTGAACTCAGGGCCTCACACTTGCTAGGCAGGTGCTCTTACTGCTGGAGCCACTCTGCCAGCCCCTTTTTTGTGATTTTTTTTTCAAGATAGGGTTTCACAGACTGTCTGAGTTGGGCTTTGAACCGTGATCCTCCTGATCTCTACCTTCTGAGTAGCTAGGATTACAGATGTGAGCCACCGGTGCCTGCCCCACTGACCCTTTTAATGTCTATTCCATGGGCGTAGGTTATTACCCATTTCACTCAGAACCTAGAACAGCATCTAACACTTGTATATCTAGGCACTCTGTATATGGTTGTTCAATGTGCATGTGTCTGAATGTTCTCTGCAGATCCCCCAGGCCCTATGTCCTAGGTGAGCTTGTAAAAGGAAGGCTTCAGGAAAGAGTAGCCATTGGTGGTAGAGAACAGTCCACCACCAAGGTGGCAAGGTGGAGGTGGGGATGTAGTGACGGGAGTTCCTGGTTAAAGGAGGCAGGGATTGGGGTAGCCTACTGCCTGGCACCATTTATCTGGACAAGCAAAGCCCCTTTCTTTTTTCTTTTTTTAGTGGTATTCGGGTTTGAACTCAGGGTCTTATGCTTACTAGGCAGGCACTAGACCACTTGAGCCATACTCCCCACCCCAAGCCACATTCCCTATCCCCCCCGATCCCCCTCCCCATTTTTAAGCCAGTCAAATTTAGCAGTGAGGGGCTGTAAAACAAGTTTAGTGGCACTGAGGTTATTAAGTTCTGATAACCCATTACCACTGGACCAGCCCCAAGGCCCCTTTCCTTACCTCCCCTGTCTCACCTCCTCCTTCCCATTTGTTCATCAACACCTTCCCTGCAAACATGAAAGATAAAGGTGGAGTGACATTGTCAGTTTCATTTCCTCTATCAGATAAGTGACAATTTCCATCTTGGGTGTGAATCCCAGGAGAGATATTATAGGAGAAATGTTAAAGAAGCTTCAGAGATTGTGAAAGAAACAAGACAGCCTGTGTGTTGTCAGTTCCACAGTCATTCTAACCTTTGTTCAAAGCCAGGTTTGTTTGGCCAATCTCTAGTTGGGTGATCTTGAGTAAATTACCTAACCTTTTTGTGCTTCAGTTTCTTCTTTTTAGACTAACCATACTTTTAAAAAAATATTTTTCTCTTTTTTATTAGTTATATTAATTGTACAAAGGGGTTTCATTGTGATATTTCCATGCATGCATAAAATGTATTTTGGTGAAATTCACCCCTTCTAATTCCTGGGCTTGAGTTGTGTATTAAAAGGAAGAGTAAGCCCAGTGTGGTAGTCATACCTGTAATCACAGCTACTCAGGAAGGGGAGATGGGAGGATCATGAATTTGAAGCCAGTACAGGCAAAAAGGTAGAGATCCCCTGTCTTAAAAACAGTAAGAGCTGAGGGCATAGCTCAAGGGGTAAAGCAGTTGTGTAGTATGCTTGAGGCCCTGAGTTCACTCCTCAGTACTGGAAAAAATAAATAAAAGGAAAAAGAAGAAGTTTCTAGACTAGAGCCTGGACATGCAGTGGCCACCTGGTAAGACAAGTGTTTCTCCAAGCCCTTGGCCTGCTCTCCATTCCCCTCTCCTTAGCTGCTGCTGTAATCTCCCATCCCCCATTTGGGGGACTGTAACAAATGAAAACCCTAAGGTTTTTGGTCTTAGACTAAGTTTCTAAAGTCTCCAGGGATTTGAGAAGGCTCCCTTCTTGCCAGGGAAAACCAGGTGGCTGGTTTTGTAGCAGGGAGGAAAAGGAGAGGTGGCAAGGCACTCTGGTGGTAAACAGATGGAAGCTTATTTATCAGCACTTGATTGAGGCCTGTGAGCAGGAAAGGCTGGGCCCTGCAGTCTGGCCATGACTTCCCCTCCTCCTTTCTAGTCCCCTTTACATATAGCCTTTAAAAAGGTTATCCTACTGGCAATCACTCTTGTCCTTTTGGTCACACTACCCTTTGTGACATCTCTTCCCCTTACAGCAGCTGCAAACAGCTGTGGTGATGCTATCCAGTCCTGTGCCCCTCCTAACCAATCTTACACAGAACCAAGGAATTTCTAGAATCCTTTCCAGAGGATTCCGATTGACACTTTTCTCTTCCTACTTTGAAGTCCCACAAGTGCTTATCTCATGATTTACAAAGGCCCAATACATGGCACACATACTGAAACTTCCTTGCCAGCGGTTAGTCCTGTCACTCTCATTAGAGTGCAAGACCTTTGTGGCCTCTACATCCCGTCTCTCTGGCTTTATGCACAGGTACAGTGTGAGTGAGGCCCACAAGACTTCTCTCTTAAGGTGGTGTAGTGTTAGATGTCTGTAATCCCAGCACACAAAAGGACTGAGAGACTGAAGCCAGCCTGGATTACACTGTGGGGGTCTGTCGAGAGAGGGAGAGAGAGGGATATAGAGACGGAGGGAGAGAGAGAGAGAAGGAAAGAAGAAACTTTGTTTTAACAAGGGGGCCCTTGGAGGTTTGCTGATCACTTGGCAGCAGTGAAGGATTTGTGCTGAGGATGCTAGCCTCCACAGCTGGTACACGAGAGATTGGATAGCTGGGTGATGGGGGTCCCAGGCGCTGGATTCTGGAAAATCCTTCTCAGTCTATGTGTTACTTTAGACGACTCATTTAACCCTTCGGTGTTTTTTTTTGCGGTACTGGGTCTTGAACTCAGGGGCTATACTTTGAGCCACTCCACCAGACCTTTTTTGTGATTTTTTTTTTTTTCAAGGTAGGGTCTCGTGGACTATTTGCCCAGGCTGGCTTCGAACTATCATTGATCCCCCTGAATAGCTAGGATTACAGGCATGAGCCACCGGTGCCCGCGTTTGGAGCTTTCTTTACCTGTAAAACACACAATCCCTAACAGGCAGTTGTGACTATCAATAGGGAGAATGGACTTAGCACTGTGGATCAGCTGTTTTCTAGGGTGCTGGGTTGACACTGGCGTGGAACCTGAATTACGAAAGATACAGAGAAAGGCTCAGCGTTTCTGAGCAGACTTTGGCGGAGCGAGTACACGTAGGCGGTACCTCAGCCTGGGGTGAGGGAATGCGGTGGTATCGCGAGTTTTAAGATCTTCCCCTTTACTGAGTCAAACGCTGCCACGCGAATTCCTATTGTCTTTCCCACCGCCCAGCCCTGATTAATCCCAGGTTTAATTCCAAAATTAGAATGCTGCACAAAAGGTCAAATAAAGCGGTTGCAAATTCAGGGAGCGAATCCTTCGCCCTGCTGCCGGCGCTGCAGCGCGCTTATCTTCACGCCCCGCCCCACCGCCGCCGCGAGCCCGCCGATTAGACCACGCCTCGTGACGTCACGAGAGGGTTTTAAAGTGGAGCCGCAGCCCCGCGCCGCGGACTGAGTGGTGGCTGTGTGCTGAGTGCGTTTCGGAAGCCCGCGGGCTGCCAGGGTGGCTGGCCTGGGAAGGCACCGGGGGAGCGCTGCTGACGCAAGGTAAAGGTGCCTTGCAGGCCTGGGGAGCCGATGTCGGCTATCTTGCAGGCGAGTCTTGTGGGGCGCTAAGGAAAGGATCGCAGCGTGAGGGACGTGCCAAGAGCTTGGGAATGCAGAGGCACTGGGAGCAGGATTTATCCCCGGTCTCAGCGCCAGCACCCCAACTCTTAGTTTGCCGCACTGCCGGATATCCCCCATCCAGCGATGATTCTCGCCCGGGGAATGGAAGTCGCGGCGTCTGCTTCCACGCCATAAGCTCGGAAAAGAGACTGGGCACCTACTTTCCTTGAGATCTAGCCCTCAACTTTCACCTGTGTGTCCTGGGACTTGAGCGTTTCTGTATGACTTCCAGGAAGGGAGAATCCCCTGCAGCTGCTTAAAACTTTTTTTAAAATTTATTTTATTTTATTCTTATGTGCATACAACATTTGGGTCATTTCTCCCCCCTTCCCTCTCCCTCCTTAGCCTCCCCCCCCCCTTTTTTTTTTAAAGAATATGTGGCTGATTTAGGAAAAATCAGGAAGTTGCAAATTTCATGTTTATTACTAAAAATGTCTTTTTTCTTTCCATGACCTTTCCCTGTTTAGATAGTCCATCTGTGTTCCCTTGTAGCCTGCAATTTCGAGACCTCTTCCTTGCCTCTACTGGAGACCCCGAAACCTGTTCCTTAACTCTGACCAGCACCTTAGCTCACAATGGGGAACCACTTGACTGAGATGGCGCCCACTGCTTCCTTCTTGCCCCATTTTCAGGCCTTGCATGTGGTGGTCATCGGCCTAGACTCAGCTGGAAAGACCTCCCTCCTTTACCGTCTCAAGTTCAAGGAGTTTGTCCAGAGTGCCCCCACCAAAGGCTTCAACACTGAGAAAATTCGGGTGCCCTTGGGGGGGTCCCGTGGAATCACCTTCCAAGTGGGGATGTTGGAGGTCAGGAGAAGCTGCGACCACTGTGGCGCTCCTACACCCGCAGGACAGATGGGTTTCGTGTGGTGGACGCTACAGAGACTGAGCGGCTAGAGGAGGCCAAAGTGGAGCTACACCGAATCAGCCGGGCCTCGGACAATCAGGGGGTGCCAGTGCTGGTGCTGGCCAACAAGCAGGACCAGCCTGGGGCACTGAGTGCAGCTGAGGTAGAGAAGAGGCTGGCAGTCCGTGAGCTGGCAGCTGCCACACTCACCCATGTGCAGGGCTGCAGTGCTGTGGATGGGATAGGCTTGCAGCCCGGCCTGGAGCGCCTGTATGAGATGATCCTTAAGAGGAAGAAGGCCGCCCGGGCAAGCAAGAAGAGACGGTGACCTGAGGCTGCCCCCTCCCTATCTACTAGGGGTCTGTACACTTGGATAGTCAGGCAGAGTCTGTGACCTCAGTTAGCCCTGGGTGCAGGACTCCTCCACCTCAATGAAGGACTGAGGAGCATGGATTTTTGTTTTGGTGCCACACTGGGGGAGGGGATGGCAGATGGGATGTCTTCGCATCTCTCCGTCCTTACCCCTAGAGAAGTAGGGGCTGCAAGACTGTGGAGACTTAGATGTAAATGCTGACTCTACCTCGATCCTGGTTCTTTTTTTTTTCCTTCTAGCTTTTTATTCTGATGTTTTTTGAGGTGGGGTCCAAAGTTGCTTAGAGAATGCATTTGGTATGAATGAACGTCCTCTCCTCTCACCCGCCAACTGGAGGAGGGGTCTCCCCAGCTACTTTTCTAGGGACACCAGTCACAATAGTCTTGTGTGTGTGTGTAAATGCCAGGAACGGTTCCCTACATTTGTAGATCCACAGCCCTTTTTATAAGCTGTGTGTGTCCTCTGTAATATTATTAACTGTTTTTTAGCATTTGCCTGTAAGTTATTAAAGATTGATAACTCTAGTTCTTTCTTTGGTCTGGCATGTTCCTTTCCTTAATCTAGCCTCAGGGACAGTCCAGGATTTCTATATGGGGTAAAAGAGGAAGCTTATCTTAAAACTCAATTTTGAAACCAGCACTCATAAAAATTAGACTATGTACTTAGGAGATGGTTGGTGAAAACTACAGGTGTAATTGAAAACCCTTTGATCTGTTATTGCCTGATCTTTACAGGCTTTTTTTTTTTTTTTTTTTTTGGTTGAGGTCATGTTTTCTTTCTCTGACCTTCCTCTCCTCCCATCATCTCTGGCTCCTGCCTCTGATACCAGCTGCTTCTTGCAGATTTAACTTTGAATTTTGCTGGTCTGAGCTGATCCTTAGTCTGTCTGTATAGGTAAGTCTTCCAAGAGCCATTCTGTCCCCATCCTCCCAGTACTCAGGTTGTTCTAGTCTCCTCCCTCTATCCCCTGCCTTGGAGGATGTGGTAAGAATGGAAAGTAATTCCTCACTGGCCTTAAGCCACCTCCGGGTGCTCAATCCTGCTGCCTGCAACTCACTGGTAGTGTCAGCAGCAGCTGGTGCTGGGGAGGCCTGGGCTGGCCCGGTGACTAAGCGCACGTCTTCCATTTATGGGAACCATAGCTATTCTTATGAGAGGGGCAGTAGTAATTAATCGCTGTCCCCTCCACACACACACCTCTGAAACTGGAGGGGAAAACATAGGCCACCAAAGTTAGTAGTGATAGAATAAAATGTATCATTGCTAGGGCTTCAGTGTTGCCTCCGTAGCACCAAGGCCAGCTGTGTGTGATAACACAGAACAATTAAGAGTGTCCTACTCTTTCTGAGAGTAGTGAATAAAAAACCAAACAATTCTTTCCAGCCCCTCAGTCCCACCCCACCCTTTGTGCAAACATGAGATCCAGAGCAGGCTTAACAGTCTCTGCTCCAGAAGCAGATAAAAGGACCAGGGGAGGGAGAGAAGGTTCTGGCAAGCCCTCCTGCGGAGGCTTCCTAAGGAACTTTCTACCTAGGGCTGCTGGGAGCTGAGCCTTGCTGCTGAGTCTGGGCCCTTTTGGATTTGGCTCCCTCCCCCTCTCTGCATGGGCAGGATGGTGGTGGATGTGCACTGATCCAGAAGGGTGCACAAGTGTGCGTCAGTGCTGGGGAGTGTTTGCCAGAGCAGCCGGGCTGGTTCTGCTGGAGACGTGTGCTGCCTGGCCTCCCCAATGCATACCTATGAATCATCTCACCCAGTCCTCTGTGGAACAGTCCTTTAAGTCCTACAGCCTAAGAATAGTGCGAGGCCCAGCCCAGGTTGGAAAGAATGTAGCCAGAAAGACCCTCTGTCCTATTGGGAGATTTTTTTTCCTCCCCCCTCAATTTTTTTTGTCTTAAAATTTCCAAGAACACATTTCCTTCCATTTCTGGTCACTTGGGGGACTGAGGTGTCTGAATTTATGGGAAGGATGTGCAAGTTTACCCTGTCCCTCTTGCCGCTCTGCCAACCACCCTCCCTGTCTGGTCAGAACCAGCATCTTCTCCCTTGGACCCTAGCTCTGGAACCATAGTTAGGGACCATGGTCCGCAGGAGGGCTGTGGATGGTCCCAGGCTCTTCGCCACACCCTGGTGGCAGATGAGAGATGGAGAAGCCAGTTGCTCTGAAAGTGTGATGAGGAGAGGGGAGCCATGGGGAATTCTGAGTAGGTAGGTGGCTAGGGGGGAGGGTGAGAGCTAGAAAAATCCTGCCTTGGCCCATCAAAGGGGCTAGAGAACTGGAAGGGGGGGCCCAGGGAGAAGTGGTCTGGGGAGAGAGAGGATCTCCCACTCTTCTGTCCTGCCCTGGGCCTCTAGGCCAAGGACAAGGAAGGGTGCGGATGGGAGTTGAGGATGGGTTATAGTTCCCTAGTTCTGTTCCCCTGTTAGGTAGGGTGCTGAAGAGAGGTTCCCTAGGGGCAGAAGTGGTGGGCTTGGGCTGGATGCCTGTGAAGGCAAGCTGAAGGAAACCTGCAGGCCCAGAATTGGGGCTCTCTTCTGAATCACCCTTGCTCCCACGGGCCCTCCCCTCTCAGTGCAAGAATTTGTAAAACATGGATGTGTTTTGAGGTGGGATACAAAGTTGCTTAGAGAATGCATTTGGTATGAATGAGAACTTACCTTCCTCTCCCCTATCCCCCATGAGTGGAGGTCTTTTTTCTGGCATGCTTTCCCTTCTTGGAACCCCTCCTTTGAACCCAGGGATGGCAATGGTCCCCCACTTTCCCATGCCCTCTCCAGCTTCCCTGTGCCTCATGGGCACAAGGAAGAGAGAAAGGAAAGGGCAGAAATCCAGAAATCCGCAAGGCCGAATGGGCAGTGACTTGCTCAAAGACACAGCTACTTAGTGGTGTTTCCAGGTCCTTGTTCCAGGCAGGTTCTTTGTTCTCTCAGAACAGGCGACAGGAGGTGGGGGATAGGGACCAAGTCTAAGCAACTTAGAGCTCTGGCTCTTCCCTCCTTCAGTTCCTCCCTCTTCCCTCTCCCTGATTAGATTAAAGACCAGCTTTCCGCTCCCCTACTCCCTTCCTGGGAAGTGAGAGCTTTATCTCCAAAGCCCTGCAGAGCTCTGGCCTCAAATCAGGCCAGAAGTCCCCACCCTCGTTCATACTAACTGTTCAAGTCTTTCTTAAGGTGGACACCTCCACACAAAGGACAGGCTGTTCTCCAGCAGGGACCTGTTTGCAATGGAGGCCAGTGGGCAGTGGGAGGAGTGAGAGGGCAAAAATGGAAGCAGCATGCCTCAAACCAGCACAATTCACTGGTGGGCAGTCTGTGGCCATGCCTCATTTCCAAGGCCCTCTGCTGGGGAGTTTGTGGGTGGTTATCATGGACCTTCTCCACTGAATGAGGTGAAAAAAGGTATTCTTTTTTTTTTTCCTCCTTTTAAAAAAAATGGTAGCTGACCATGGTGGTGATGCCTATGATCCTAGTTATTCTAGAGGCTGAGGCAGGAGGATCACAAGTTCGAGGTCTGCCTCAGCTACATAGTCAATTGGAGGCCAGGATGGGCAATTTAGTGAGATCCAGTCCCACAATACAAAAATTGCTGAGGATGTAGCTCAGTGGTAGAGCCCAAGCCTAGCATGTACAAGGCCCTGGGTTCAACCCCAAATTCCACACAAAATTTTATTTTATTTTTTTGGCACTTTTTAGGGTTTGAACTCAGGGCCCACACCTTAAGCTGCTCTTCCAGCCCCTTTAGGAAATACCTTCTTTTTGTTTTCCTCCAGACCTTTTTTTGTTGGGTTTTTTCTGAGATAGAGTCTCGAGTACTATTTGCCCAGGCTGAATTTGGCCATGATCCTCTGATCTCTGTTTCCTGAGGCTAGGATTACAGGTGTGAGCCACCAGCACCCACTCCATACCAATTTTTTTGGTGGTACTGGGATTTGAACTCAGGGCCTACACTTTGAGCCACTCCACCAACCCATTTATGTGATTTTTTTTCTCTTTTTTCAGATAGGATTTCACAAACTATTTTGCCTGGGCTGGTTTCGATCCTCCTGATCTCTACTTCCTGAGTAGATAGGATTACAGCCACATATATAGGCTGCGTCACTGATAGGTCTTTATTGAGAAAGAAATTTACATTTAGAATGGGAGAACCCCCTAATCTACATTTCAGAGCTAACCATTGTGAACAGTTTTTGGTTTTTTTTTTGGACTGGGGTTTGAACTCAGGAGCCTATACCTTGAACCACTCCATCAGCTTTTCATCAACTGGTGCCTGGTTATGAACAGGTTTTTATATATTCTTCCAAATATTTTTATTTTGCATGTACAAAAAATGCTATGTCTACATAATACACAAGAGATTATATAAGTACTGTTTTACAGTTTTGCTTTTTTCATTTATTTGTTGGACATGATTCACTTCCAGGACATTTGGATTTTTCTCATTCATTTGATGACCACATGAGTTTCTGGTTTTTGTTTTTTTGTTTTTGGTGGTGGTGGGGGGACCTGGAGTTTGAACTCAGAGTCTCACACTTGCTAGGCAGGTGCTCTACCTCTTAAGCTACTCTGCAAGCACTCGTTGTGTGAATGTATCATTATTTATTTATCTTGTGATACTGGGGCTTGAACTCTGGGCCTACACCTTGAGCCACTCTGCCAGCCCTTTTTTGTGATGGGTTTTTTCGAGATAGGAGCTCCCGAACTATTTGCCAGGGCTGGCTTCAAACCGCAATCCTCCTGATTTCTGCCTCCTGAGTAACTAGGATTACAGGTGTGAGCCACCAGCGTTCAGCTTCATCACTTAAGTCCTCTGTTGAGGCTCATGGGGTGGATGAACCTGAAACTTCCGTGCACATATTTCTTTATACACTTGTGGAAGAGTTCCTGTAAGATAAGTTCCTGGAAGAGTAATTGTCATGTCAAAGGGTGTATGTATTTAAAACTTTCATTGATACTGCCAAAAGTTTTGTGTTTGTGTAGAGGTTTAGGGGAGGGAAGTTCAGTGGTCTTCATCTTCCATCAGCTCATTTAGAGACCTCTTTATGCTGAGTCAAGTGTGTGCACTGGAGTAGATATCAGTGCCCTTATTTTGGAAGGTTAAGAAATAAAATCATCAGCAACTTGGAGGAGGATTTGCTTGGATGGGGATCAGGCAAGCTTGGGCTCACTTTCTCAGCCTGCGGATCAGGCAGCACTGGGGCTGCTGGCTGGTAGTGGAGGTAGGCAGATGGCAAGGACTCCCTAGCACCCAGCTTGTCACACACGTCAGGCAGAGTGGGAGAAGTAAGTCCTGAAATAAATTCCTGGGACTTGGCTCAGAGAGGGAGTGAGGCTGAGACCAGGAGTTCTTGCTCCGAAGGGAACAGGGAGAAGAAACCTTTGGTCCCAAGGAAGATAGCAGAAATGTCAGACCACTCCCAAATGACTCCCAACTCCTTTGGTGGATCCACACCAACTGCT